TTTTTTATTAATAAACGAAAAGTTTTAAAGGAAAATTGCTAGAGAGGTAAAAGTTTCTAAAAGAACCAGTTTATCTAATGCGTATTTTTGGATATCGAGTTTTTACGAAATATAAAAGTTATGGCAAAAAATAGCTTGAGGGGTGGTTATTTCAACCCCTTTCGAGGGGTTAAAATTTTCGAAAAATAGTTGAAAACTCGCATCTGTATTAGTAAACAACCTGTAAAAAATTTGTTATTTGTACCTCGTTCGGTTTTCAAATTACAGCCAATTTTCATAAGTTTTTTGGAAACTGATGGCCCATATCTCTTCAGGGGTGAACATTTTACTAAGGCGATTTTTTGCAGATCGTGTTCTTTTGAAATGTAGAATCACTGGTATCATTTATGCTATTCCATTCAAAAACACCCTGTATATATATTTTTTAATTCAGGCGACAAAGAAAAATAAATAATGTACCTACCATCACGTGATTTGAAACAACTGAAATTCGTATTTATACGAAATGGAATAAAAAATATTTATGTTTAATTTATTTGCGTTTTCAAAAATCAAAAATTTTGAGATTTCATATAAGTACTCATGACTGCTATAAAATTTAAAACAAATGGAATTTTTGTGTGTAGATATATCACGAAAAATTATTTTCTGAAAAATAAAATTTCAACGTTCCTCAAGTTTACATGGTAACTGTTGAAACAATTTCAGAACTGTTGCTAAATTAAGTAATTAGGTAATTAATTTTTTTTCACTTGACTTCATTCTCTACTAGAGATAGACGGCATAAACTCGTCAAAGCCAGTTGGATATCACTGCATTTATGAATGAAAAATTGAATCAAGGCTACATTTATTTGAGGTATATACAGGGTGTCTCGGCCTCCTTTTCAAGATAAACTCCGTGAAAGTTTTCAAAGAAATATACTATATCTCTAAATGTCTTCCAAACGGATGAACAAATTGGAACGAAGTTTTATGTACCGACCAGTCTCAACTCAGATCATTCATGTAGACATTCAATTGTTTCTCAATCCACATCATTTGATAATTCTGTTAGGACACTATTATTAACAACTGTTTTATTTTTTTTCTCACAAATATTATTCGAAAATCGAAATATTGCATTCGAAAAAATTAAACCAGGCTAGATAAACAATGTTGTGGGTGTAACGTTAATCGCCCTTCATTAAGGTAATTGTCGAAAAAATAAAAGTTAGTGCCAATTTGCAATTTTCTTGCAGTTTTTACCCCAATTTTTTATTTTTAAAATAAGATGAAAAAGTTGTAAATATCTATTTCATATCTTTATTTGTTAAGTTTATAAATAATTATAATTTTCTGTTATTGCAGGGGGTAGGTGGGGAAGATGTCGACGATCGAAAGGAAGGAGTACCAGGAAACGAAAATCCTGCGATCTGTCTCTCCTGTGCGCAACACACGAAGTTCGACTCAAAACTTGTCACAATTCGACAGTAATTTAGGTGATTATTACTTTTACTTTGATTAAAATTTATATTTTCTTTTATTATATTTTAAGTAGTTTCACTGTGTGAGTGTATAGTTTACAACCAATATTAGTTATACCAATTTTATAATTTGAAATGGAATGCCTTGCCATTTTCTTACTGTGTTTTTAAACTTTTAATCACTTTTTTAACGAAAACATTACCTTAAAGTACCTCAACTGTTTCGAGAATTATTATTGTTTTATTTTCCCTAACACCCAGTATACACAGGATCAGACATATTTAAGTCTACAAAATTTAATTCAAGTTTCCTTAGATCAAAGTAAAAAAGTTGTTGTTTTGACATATATTTTTTGTCCATTGTCCATTATCCATGATTTGCTTTGCAACTTTGGTGTTTTTAACAGACGCTCCGATATATAGTTGCAGTTTCTGACTTCTTCATCATATCAGCAAGTAAATCGTTGCAATTTTTTACAGATTACTTATTAGAAGACTTACAAAACTCCGTTTCTCGACCCGGAAGTTCTCTAGGCCACAATACAGGTACATATAGAGAGAACTCACGATCTGCGCATACTTTAGATTCAGGACCCAGGAGCAACTCTCTGAACAGAATAACTAATGTCAAATCCTCGAACCCAGTTACGGAATACTCTTCTGATGATGCCTACAATTACTCGGTAAGTCAATGACATGGAATGAAACGAAGAAATATGTTATGATTAAGTCCATACAAAAAGGCATAAGTTTCAAAAAATTGTAGAATAAATTTCATTTATAATAGTATTATTACATAACAGTTAATTTTAAAAAGAAACTTTTATTATTCTTAATATTCCCAATCTTCTGATAGCATTCCCAATAGTAATCAAATGCAGAATTAAATACATACATATATCTAAAAAGAAAAATCATAAATGTAAAATCGTTATAGTCTCCGGATGGCAGACAACACGTAACTGGATATAAGAAGGAAAAGTATATGTATAAAACCTCATCTTCTGGTGATGCTCTTCCAGAAAAAACACGAATGCAAAACAGTATTAATCAGTTGGATTCCCTTCTCGATGACTTGCAACAAGTAAAAAAATCTTCTTTCTCGGAAAATGGTAGGTAAATATTTTTTGCTTTAGGTACAGTTGCATTAATAATTAACCATAATTTTCATCCGGTTTCAATGTGACGGCCCAAGAGCCATTTTTGTTAAATTCAAATATTATTAAATGAATTTAATCAAAATTACTTTAGACATAAAATGATTTCACATGTCATCTTCTAATATACTCTAACAACTAACCAAATTATATCGGAAACCATTTTAGTAGCATATTAGTCTAAGTTCATGTTTGCCTTTGACAAAGCAATTTAATCCCTCCTTCATTGGCTTGTGTGTGTGTGTTCTTTAAAGAATTCCGAAGAACTGCCATCCTTTATTATTCGATATCACGGCAAATAAAACAACTATTTGCCGTGTCGATATGATGGTAGAGGATGGACTTATTCTCAGTGCGCATTTAGTGCAAAAGTGCAAAGGAAACGCTGTTAGGCAGGTATCTAAGAGACGAAAATCGCACGAGGTTCATCGCGCAAAAATGTTAGCTTCGATTGTTGCCATTGAACGTATCGGAAAAGTGATATTTGCTTTATTCGCAAATTGTTCTTAAAAAGAATCCGGAGATACAAACATCTATGTACTATTTTTTTTTTGTTTTTTCTTGCTATAGAATCCATGAAATATTTCTTATCAGACTACGCAATTCTGTCGCGGCAACTGAATTGCATGAATTAGAACATGCTCTATTCCGTGCAACAAAATTGCAGGGATTCTAGTTACTTTTATGGAGATTTGTTTATTACCAACCTATCTGCTGTTGACTGTTGGTCATGGCTGTAGTTAGTAACACCGTTGAAGCCACTATTAAAGCTATACAACAATTTACTTTTAAATTTTCATCCATTGCAATGTTTTGCTTAAATAAAAAATAATTGTTTACAAAATACTTACCTACACGAAATTTTACATGTTAAACAGTGCACAGTTGATAACACTACTGCAAACTAAACAAATTGCAGCAATTCTGTTCTATTGTGTGAATAATAAACATGCAATTTTATCCACGCTGTTGCGCAAATCCTCGCAATTATCTTCGTCTCTAGAATGCAACACTCATTTGTTTTCATAAAAGAAATAAATTCCTCAAGAAATTTAGTATATAACTTATACTTTTACTTACTTTTCCAATATCTTCAACAATAATCGAATTTGGGTGATGAATGGGTGTAAATGGGATAAAATGTGATTTTGTGTGATGAATCTGTACACGGTCATTCACACAACAGTATGTCCACCTTTTTGCCGTTTTATCAAGAACATATTGTAAAAACTCAAGGTTTTAGAAAATTTTCTTACGACAGATATAAGCCAAACGTTTGTTTTTTTAACGGAACACCTTGTGTATTTGTTTTTTTTTTTAGGATTGCTCTTTTTTTTTTCGAATCACAATGAAATAACATGTTATATATTTGCTTTTATAGGTTGCTCAATAATTTGGTTTGTTTTCTGATCCTGCACATAATCAATCAAGATTGCCACGGAACCACTCTGTGCGGGTACGTTTTTCGCTGTTAAAATTAAACAAATCGTTAAATTTTCTAATAATAGAAAACATATTGTTATAAAAGATGTTTTACAATATCTGCATCCTGTTCTAGACAAAGGACATATATACCAAGCTAGTTTTTTTTGTAATGTCCTATTTCTCATCGATAGTATTAATTTTGTTTGATAATTTCTCCATAGATCATCAAATTTGAATACGTTTTTATTTGATTCTAAAAAAAAGGCCGCGCACTAACCGATTATTTTTCTGGGGTGGGCACCGGGCTTTCTAGGGTGGGCACCGGGCTCTCTGGGTGGGATGGACGAAGTTAATGGGGGGCTTGGGGGGGCTAAGCCCCCCCCCCAAAATCCGAATTAGCCCGATCC